AACTCCAATTTCATCTCACCTCATTTCACCATGGCCTTATAACTTATGAGTTTATGAGATAGAGCCACCAAACAAACTTCGACTTGTTCTCTGTCCGCACATGACCACACTCGCATTGATCAATATGAGTCACATAAGAGTGGTAGCATTTGAAGCATATCTATATATATAACCCATTGAACACGTGTCCGTCCATCCGTATAACGTTATGCCGAAAATGGCCACTAGACGCCTCTGTTGTGTGTCGTATTTCACACATTTAAATTAATATGCAGCTCTCTGGTACTTTTGTTATCCTGTTTTCATGACAATTTGGCTCTTCTCACTTGACAAACTGCCGACCCCTGTACTATACTAATAATGCATTTTTTCATATTTTTCGGTTATCCGACCAACCCCAGTCCCCAATTGAGTCAGATAATCGATGCTATACTGTATTGTGTTTATCGTACCATCAACACTGTGCAATGTTGGTTCTTGGTATGATCAAAGATATCCTAGAGCTAGCCCATACAATATGTTATTCTTCATTCTTCTAGTATAATCATAGCACATTTGTTCAACATAAACAAATGTCCATGGGCAGCCCCCTATCCAGTTCTGTGAGATTGTAATCAGGTTAGGTAGAACTGTTTTTTCTAATAATTTCCTATCAAAGCAACCCCCTATGATCTCATCATTAAATTAGATCAAGCCAGCAGCACAGAAGTATATTTCTTAGACCTAAAAATCAACATCAGAAAAAATTGAGTCTATACAAAAGTTATAAATCAATATAACACTCTTATTTATACTGGCAAGCTCCCATGACCCTTATATATATAAGATTGCAATTTTTAGGGCCTTTACCAAAGGGCTTTTACCCACTGTACATATTATTCTGACACAATCAAACTAGAACTCATTGAACAAATAGCCACAACACATGGTTACTGCATGAGGAATTTAGCCAGTATTATTTCCAACAACACTCACAACTTAGACCCTAAAGATGAAAACTGATACAATCAATGCAGAAACACAAGCCGTATCATTCTAGAATATAACCACAATATGTATAAGGAAATAGCAAATCTAAAAGAGACCAAATTGACATTCAGTCACATTCCTACCATCTTTAATATCTTTAGGAATGGAAAAGATAAGACTAGTAAGCTTAGAGTATCGGGGTATATAAAGTTCTTTTGAAAGATGACAGATTTGGTTACAAACTCAAATATATCAGTTCAACCACAAGGTCACTCAAAATAAGACTAGCCAAACACAAAAATGATATCGACAAAAAGAACAAAACCCCGCCCTAGTCGTGTACGCAATGGATAATGAAGTGCACGCCTTCCTCAACAAGGTTACCGTCGCGAGAACAAAACACGCCTACTCCAACAGGATACTAAAAGCATTAGAAATATTCAAATATGACTAAAATTTACGCAGTGGCCCTTTTTAAGATGAAAAACAACTATCATAAGCTTGGCAATCCTTATATGATCACATGATCAAATATGACATAACATGATGTAGGGGCAGTATAATGAAAAGTTCTATTATAGTTATTTACTTTTTAATTGCTGCCTGCAACTACACGGGCTGGAACTCTAGTTTAGTAGCAACCATGTTGTCACGTGAATAGACACCGGTGCTTTCTAGTAGTAACTAGATTGCTTCTTACTCACTGGGAGTGTGTTGCCTTGGCAATTGAGCAAACACATTTAATTCCAGTAACAGCGAGTATTTATAGCCACTACTTGGTTCAAAGTGGACTAAATGCATCATATGATTAGCCAGTCATATGATACAATTAGTCATTGCTACTCAAACAGCAACAAGCAAAGTTACTTTGTGTGACACAAGCTTTAGAGTGAAGTTTGTCACTAGTTATGCTCTCCTTTATTTAAAATGTATTCATAACTTGGGATGGAACTGTTGAGTAATTAAGGTTTCTCAATAGAATACTTGTTAATGCCATCCTTTGTTGAACACTAGTTCTTGTCAGATCCTCTCACCACTTGACTTTGTCTCCAAGCAGAGTACATTGTGTGATCAACAATATGGACTTGCCGGTAACCCAGCCGGCACCTAGAGGCTATGGTTAGTCCCAACGCTAGTGTTAGAAACAAAAGCATCCTACAGTAAAACAAAACAAATTGTGGGACAGGAAGTGAAATTAGTAATGCTTGAAGGAGGGGAAGAGAATATACCTGAGCTCCTCCTCCTGAACAACAACAAATTACACTGATTAATACATATCTGCATACCACACTGGGATAAATATAAAATAAGACTCCCTATAACCAATAACTGGTGCAAAGTACAATTGTCTTGAATAACATTTTCATAAGCTTTTCTGGATTCTTCCTTGGGTTGTCATAATTCTAAATGAGCTGGATCTTCCAAAATCATAGATGAATATAAAATTTGAACATTATTTGAACTCTTCATCTTACAGTTCGATTTTATGTCACAGGGAACACATGCACGTAAGGTCTCATTATTCAAACTCTTCATCTCATGGTTCGATTTTATGTTCAAATTTTATATTCATCTATGATTTTGGAAGATCCAGCTCATTTAGAATTAAGAAAACCCAAGGGACCCAAGAACCCATAAGGGGTTAATCAGATTAAACATAATTTAAGGGTAAATGTAGTTTGGCACCATATTCATACAAATGTAGTTTGGCACCATATTCATTACCAAGAGAGAGAGCATTACATTTGATCTCCAAAGGTTGATGCATGAGAAATGAAAATGGATTTCATCATCATTCAATGGATTGATGATGATGAAATCCATTGGTTATCTGACAAGGTCTTTGATCAATCTTATGTTTTCCAATTCTTTATTTGTCTCTATCTGTTTCCTTTTTGTCGGTCCAAATCAACTTTAGTCCATGAGTTCATAATGGACTATCTTCTGTTGCTCTTTTCACTTCCTCTATTCCAATATTGTTACTTTTTCTGCAAACTAGCTTTCTCCATGGGATCAACTGAATATTTTGTATTTATTCTGGGCCAGAACAAAGCATTATTGCATACAACAATTGCGATAACAGAGGCAAAGGTTTCTATGGGAAAATTAGGCTTAGGTTTGCAGCTGTGCTGGTCAAAGAATGACGTAAAGCAATATTTGAATTCTGTAACGACATCAAACAACTATTTTCAATAAATTCTGCTTATTGTATGAAGATTCATTGTCTAAATTTAATTTTCTAAAGTTAACAAAGTTGTAAACAATTTTTTTGTAGGACGATAAAAGGACTTTGAGTCTAGAACTTTTAAATCAAGATAGAAACAAGTCCACCGTACTCGATTCCACCGCATTATTAGATGTAAGTTTCTCTTACAGAATATTAAAATCATCAATATTATCGGAATAAAATATTGTTTAGTCTATTTTCAGATTCAGAAAACTGTGTACGAACGCACAATATTAAAACCGTTATGTTCACCTTTTCTACTGAGAAGGAACTCTGCGGCGGATCCCAACCAAAAGAGGAGTAAGACTCAGAATGGTTCTTCAAACAAACTTGGTCTAAGAATATCCAACAAGAGAGCAAGCTGGTCTGGAGAAAACATTCAAAGTGACATTCTGAATCAGTTGCAAGACTTACCGAACGGTCACCACAAACAAGAGAGCAGAGGAGAAGAGAAAGCTTCCAGTTGTGTCGATCTTCCTTCCATGTGTTCAGACTCATTCACTAAACCGCTGTCTGCGATGCAACCTTTGTCAAAACATGCTTGCGACACAATAGTAGAATGCGAAGAACCCCGATCTCTACAAGAAAGTGAGAGCAGTCTGTCGGATCCTCGTGCACATTATTTTCAAAACGACGTGACCTATAGCCGGAAGTCTGATTTTTGCCATAAATTACCGCTTTTAGAAAGTGAGTTGTAAAATAAAATGATATTAAGATAAATCTATAAGTGTTAAATTTATGTCTTGTAATACACAACATTCTGTTTCTTTTTCATGCCAATCTTAATTTCCCCAAAATAAGAGGGGTATCCAATGTATCCCCATAAAGACACTTGTGAAATTTCTAAGGCTCAGATTTGGACACTAAGGATGAGTTTACTTCTGAGCTAATTTTACTATTAGCACGCTCAATTCTGCACTATACAAAGGTCACACGATGAAAAATTGCATCAACCTGTGGCAAACATGTTAATAAGAGGTTCGCTGCCAATTTCCAACTGGTCTTTTAATCCAGACAGAATTACAAGAGGGCATTCAAAATCACAATTACCACTGTGCTTAATGCACATTACAGTCGACCCCCGTATAAGATCATTGATTATTCCGTTTTATATGAATTCCATGTTGTACGAGTCACTTAGATTTTACAAATACGTGTACCGGGCTGTGAACGGCTCACGTATTTGTAAAATTTAAGTGACTTGTACAACATGGAATTCATATAAAACGGAATAATCAATGATCTTATACGNTGGTGGCAATCTCTTAAGTTCATACAGCTTTTAACTAATTTTAAACAAGTACACTCTATTGAATGGCGATATTTTCAATTTCCGGCCCAGATAGCTAACTTTTGGCCAGCTCTGGAAGTCAAAAATATCACCATTCAATAGATCATATCCAATTGGGTGATCTTATACAGGTGATCCCTGTATAAGAATTTTATTTGCAGGGATGACTAATATACTGTGTTCTAGATCTATCAAAATTATTTGAAATATGAACTTAAAAAATTAAATTTTTTAGAATTACTTACATCAAAGGATCAAATTCTAATTTTCAATAGATTCGATCTTGTGTTCCTACAAATAGTTTTAATTTCATAATATCACTATACCGAAATGGATAACAAAAAATATAAAATATAGTACTTACGCAGGATATCTCATACAATTGTAATAATAAATTTATACTAGGGAGCAACACACTTTTTATATGATGTAAAAGCAGGGAGTTGTGAAGAATTTAATGAAACATTGATGGAAAGACAGCTATAGTTGGCAATCGATAGAGCGTGCAGCATAGAGACAAATCTGAAGAACCGACAGGCCGATCTGTCTACTGTATAATCTCCAAAAGATCCATCTGGACCAGATTCTCTTTTGAAGAAACCGAAAATTGAACTCGATACACATTGGCTTTGTCGTCCACAATCCAGAAAATACCAGCGTTTTCTGTGTTTTCACATGGATAATTTGCAGAACATAACTCTGGATTTTAAAAATTGCTGAACCCAAAGTGAAATCCGTGCACAACTTGTACAAGTACATCTCCAAAGATGCTTTTGGCAATTTTAGCAAGATGTATAATAATTTTAATTTGCGAAGTTGGCAGATGTTAGAAGTGTTGTTTTTCTCAACTGTCTAAGAGATTAGCAGACCCAGTAACATACATTAACATTTGTTCTGGCAGATCAAAAAATTCTACAGCAAATTGTCTAGATAAGAGATCCTTCTGGTGTCTTGAAGTCATAAGACAAAATAGCAATCATTACAAGTCACAAAGGATCGAGTGACTTTTGCAATGTATAAAATATATTGAGGTTATATATTTTATACATTGCATTTATATTTGATCCTCACAAAAAATAATTTGATTTGGCAATTATTATTTTAGTATTTGGCTTATTCTGTTGAATACATGGATAAGAGCAATGCTAGTCTTTGCCAAACATTCAGTTGTAGTTAGATCGCCGAAGTTAAGCAGATAAGGCCCAGATGCTTTATTCATACGATTAGAAAAGGATGCCGTCTCTTACTCTGACCTGAAGCTAGATGGCTCTGGTCAGAATATCCAGATAAACAAGACTGGTGATGGCAGCATCTGGCCTTAAAACAACCATTATGACTGTCCTCTGTAAGGGCATTGCAATCTCATCCAAAATGCAAAGCTAAGGTGTTTTTTTTTGTTTTTTAATATATATAACAATGAGCTAAATATTGAAATAATATAGATTACATGAGATTAGGTGCATGTTTGTACATAAATATCTGACCCAAAACACAGTCAAATCTCACTTTAATACCACCATTGTCTACCTCTGAATCTGATAACCAAGTCAAAGATAGTATTAAATTGAAGTACAGGACTGTACCTCAAACAGAAAACCTGTCCGGTGCAGTATTGGAATAGATAGGAAGAAGAACAATGAAATCTGTATAAAGAGCAGGGACAAACTGTATTTTGAGAACCACTTCCAACCTCGTCAGGGAAATGGTTCCTCCAGTTGTGTCAAGGGCACACATGGACAGTCTGCTAATATTTGTTTTTGTTGGAATTAACCAGATTGACACAACTGAAAACTTTCAAGAATTGAACAAGTGTCCAAGAAGAGTTACGAACATAATTCATGAAAATAAGAATAAAATAATACATTTTGCCAATTTGCCTTGCATGGATTAGTTAGTGAATTAACTAGAACCAATTGAAGAAAAAGTTAACACATTGATAATTATAGAGATGGAAGTAAACAATCAATTATTAAAATTACTGGAGATGTGAATCAGAAGAACTTGGTCTCTATTACTGTAATGAAATTAAAATTTCTAATGGTAGATTGAAGCACTAGTTCTTGGTAATTGAATTAACTCATATTCTGAGGATTGTATATTAGAAGTTTTTGCAATATTCTGATTAATGTATTTTATATTAAAAAGCAGAGAGAAGTAATTAATAAAGAGAATATTTTCAAGATTTCTCTTTGTATTACGTACCAGTTCAAGAAAAAGGCAATAATTTTCATAAATTCTGACAAAACATGAAATATTTCTGCACCTAATCCTTTGACCATCATATTTACCTATCTACACAGGAGATTTGGATCAAAATCTAATCTGCATTCATGATTTTACTTGTGTTACTCCAATTCTAGTTGACTTTATTATAGATCTGGCCCATTATTGTGTTAGTGTTTCTTGGAAAATCTAATTTGTATAGCAATTTGTTGACACCGGGATGTGGCAGAGTATAGATTGCCACAATTTCATTCCAGATGATGGATCAAGTTAGAATGGAATTGGTTAGAGTAGATGAGGAATGGAAGCACACCCCAATTCAACTACCCATAATACATTTTGGAGTCCAGACTGTATTCAAATTCAGATCCACTACAACAGTAGGCTTATGTCTAACATTTGGTCATCACAGGTGCTCCAAAATCACTACAATAGGTGTCCCCCGTCTCATGTATGCAAACTGGCAAATATCAATCGAAACTTTTTTGTATAATTTCTATAGAATTTATTTTAAATAAACAAAACACAGTAATATAAAATTACAAAATATTTTCCTTAGAATCTATCTTGTTTCAATAACTAATTTACCATTTAAAAAATAGAGAATGTAATTGCTGAGACATCACTCTGCATTTTATGGGAGTGTTCGCATAATAAATACTGTAAGGATGAAAGAAAATCTGGTATATTAAACAATTATATCAAATATAATTAAGTACTCTCAGTACAAACTGTAAGAAAAAAGGATATCCTCTTAAGTTTGTTATGCGTGTACCCGTACAATGTTACCAACAGTAGAAGGTGCATGGCATTTATCACAGATAACTCTAGTTTTCTTTGATTTTTGTACTAGGCATTCCCTGCATAGTAAGTGAAGACACGATAACGAGTAAAGAATGGCATCTGAATGACAGACGCAACATAACAGATCATTCACTTTTTCTGAAAGTGGTTTTGTGTACGATTTACAACTGCTCAGAGTTGCTCTTAACGCTTCATCCAAATTTGAAGAAAACTTTAAATCGTCTTCGTTCGTAGGAGAGGATGATGATTTCTGGTGTTCCGAAATAGGATTATAATAATTAAATATATTCATTACACCAGAACTATCATTATTAATGTTGAGTTTGTGTTTCTTTACACACATATTTGATTCTGGGGACGATCTCTTTGTTCCTTGCGTTGATTCCAATTTTCCATCCGAATTCACAAGAGACGATATTCTTCCCTTAGAATTCTCTTGTTCTTTGGTTCCCACGGTTCTTGGTACTTCCGAATATAGTTTATTATTTTTTAACAAGAATTGGTCAATACGCACTTTCAAACTGGCACTTGGAACGGGTTTCTGATAACTGTTAAAAGGTACGCCCGTAAATGGATCATTTGGAAATCTCCCCCAAGACGCTTCTGTTTTTACATATTTCTCCAAAGTCAACTGGTCAATGGTGTGCCCGGACGGTAAAACAATGGGTAACGTCATAATACTACAAGTAATGGGATCAATAAATTCTGCAGGAATGTCTAATTCGTCTTCATCCAAGTGATGATCTGAAATTAAAATTTTATAATTACTCTTAAACAGGTAACTAGAACAACTTTTTTATAAATTTATAATGGTATTGATTTAGAGGGGAAAAAAATATTAAAAACTTTAGTGTTTTGTAACTTTAATTGTAATGGAATCAAGAGAAAGCCTTCAGATCGAGAGGGGGGATTCACAAAAGGATCATTATTAATGACTTCCCACATTGGCAATATCATTAAAAGTAACAGTTTAATGATTTGACGTACAGGCATTCACAAAAGCTGTTGCAGAATATCATGATGCTAATGACAAAGTAACTAGTGTCTTGTAGCAAGAGAATGGAATCATCACTTTGGTCAGCCATGGTCAATAAGAAATTAGGTTTTACTTTTCATGGTTATAAAACATACTGAGTGATGGTAATTATGGAATGAGGAGAGCAATATGAAACATTAAAATTTTATAAAAATTTATGTATTATTTTAATGGCATGTCAGATTCATAAAATATATATATACCATTTAAGGTTCAATTCAAGCTCTGAATGAGACATTGCGACCTTATTACAGCTGTAGAGCATACCTATAGGAGCAAAAAAGTCTAAGGAACTATACCTCTACAAGCGAATCTTCATGAGATAGTCCCCCCAAATCAGTCGTGCGAGATCACAAGTTGTGTCACTCTGCTAGACCATCTACCCCACACGACTATGCCGACTTCAAGTAGTAGCCCACTCCACTGTTTGTGAAGTACTTGACGTTATATAATTTTAGGGGGTATGAGGGTTTGCCCCCACCTGGACACTGAGGTACTTGCTATCACTCGCACTGAAGCGCACGACTACATGCAGAGCATCAGTCAAGGTAAGCAATAGTGAGCCTTGACAATGTCGAACACACATGTTAAAAACTGACCTTTGGAGGCAAATATCTCACAAAGGGTCACATGTATAGGTATGGTTCCTTTGACTTTTCTGCTCATACAAGGAAATCTACAATTCAGGGGTCGAAAAATCCCTCATTTGGAGCTTGAATCTTACCCCATTTAATTGGATTGTGTCATTATAAGTTGAAAAATCACAAAAATTCCATAGTACAGCTGAAATTCATAATGATAAAAAAAGTAATATATTCTAGTGAAATTTTACGTAAATCATCACATGTATACACTATGTTGACAGAAGTATTGGGACACCTACTAATTGCGTGCTGTCAGAAAAATGGGATAAGAAAATGACCCAGAGAAACCACGGACAGTAAGCACAAAGAGTATTTCCAGACATCTGTGCCAGATGTCTGGATGAATGGTGTGCATGCAGAGTCAGATCATTGAATAACTTGGTCTTAGTAGTACAGAGCAAGAACAAAAGAATAGCTCTTGATATTTCAATCATATTCACTGTCATTTTAACTCAGAATGATAGCATCCAAGAAACGTTCAAATGCCTAGCACTTGTTCTCGAAAACAAGAACTTCCCCGTCAAATAGATCTAGATCTTGCATTTGAATACTCTCATCTTTAGTAATCACTTTGAATTATTGATGATTTGGATTAAACCTAGTAATAAAATTTTTTTACTATGTAAAAGTGCTTTTACTATAAACACAAATGTAGCTGTATGTCATTTATCTGGTATAGTTTAAAGATGAAAATTTAAAAAAATAATTTGGTACTGTGTGAATCCAGTTTACACAAACTTTACCATATTTTTTACATACTCATAAATTACTTTTCAAGCTCAAAAGTATAAATTTGTACCAAGAGTTGGACCACTCTGTTATATACATCTTGTAATAACCTAAAGTAGTATTCAATTTATCTTCAACATACTCAAACATTCCAAGAGGGATATTCCAAACATATAATTCCAATTTTAGATAAACACGTAGCCATTGTGATTATCACCCCTAGACAAGCTGAAATGTCAGTCTATCCACAGATCCCGAGTGAAATTTAATTGATTGTAATAACTAACTATAAATTGTGTCAAACTGAATTAACTATTAAAAAGTTTTTGAATAATCTAATTAGAATCTTATTGGCCAGACATCCTCAAAGTGTCAGTCTAGTGCTATAAAAATATTTGTTTGAAATAGATCTGAATAATCATAATTTGTCATGGGTGATAAGAATTGAAGCATCATTTCATATCCTCATGTTAATTGATATAATTAAGTAATGTGCCACTCATAATAGACAAATTTTTAACAAAATGATGTAATCTTTTATTAAAGATTAAGATGGGAGATGAAACTCTTATGTTGTGTACTTTTTGGATAATAATTAACATAATTACAGTAATTAAAAATGGTAGAATTATTTTTAAATGTGCTATAATTTATGAGATTTAAGGCATTTGATTTATTAGTCAGCACATGATTATTATTATTTATGAAATGGTACATTTAAGTGTACAGTAGAGTCCTGCTAGTCCGACTGTCTGCCTGATCCAAACATGTTTCAGTCAGTGGAGAGGAAATTTTCTCCAAGAGGTTCACTTAGGGTTGTTCCCCTTTCTCCTTCCTGAGTGAACTACATGAATAAGCTTCATCAAGCTTATCATACATTGAGGACCCTGCTGTTTGCCTCGATTTTTAACAGATTATTCTGAAGTAGAGGCACAAAATTGTTTGATCTTTGCACGATTATTTTCCAGTCGGTTATTGTGGCCTTGCCCACTCCAAACTCTACTGCCAATTTCATTGCACTTTCACCCTTGTCCAGGGTAGGGCTCTGATGTCATTGATGGTGTTGGTTCTATATTAACCATACCTGTTTTACTGCTTGCTTCAGCATTATTTGATTATTCGGCTAATCTGAAAATCTGCTAATCTGAACAGAGTCGGTCACAATTAGTTTGGACTAGCAGGATTCTACAGTATATAAAATTTTTAAAATACAGATAAAAATGATACAGAAATTTAAAAACATTGATACAAGAGAAGGAATTTGGAGATTGGACTGAATCAATGCACAAAAATAAAGATTAGTTATTTAAATTTACTAAAAAAGTGAGAAAATATATTTACCATTCTTGCCTATATCCAAATCCAAATTCTTTAATTTGTCAAAACGGTCTTTATCACTTTTAAACAGCGACGACGATGACGACGAAGGGAGGGAGTTCTGTTCTGCTTTCAGAACAGACATCACTACAGATTCCAGACAAGATCTGGCAGGTTGTCCCCAGACTTCTAATTTAGAGAGAAGGGGAAAACCGCTATGTGAAACTTTGATTAAACTTATTTGTAAAGAACCGATGCTGGACAAATTAGTATACTGCTTTGCGGTAAATCGTCGAGAAGCCACATCACCTGGTAACATATTCTTTGGTAACTTGGAAAAAAGTTTCCTCGGCGCATACTTGTTATTTGCAAACAATACATTACTTTCTATGATATTTGTACTTTTTCCTATTAGCTCGAATTTCTCATCTTTATCGTCATCTGAAATAAAGATTTAGTTTAAAATACTCGAGAGAGATTTGTGTGATGATAAAAATATTAGAATTATAAAATTTTAGACATGAATTAGACAGTAGATCCCCACTTTATAAAACTACTTTCTTTACAATTGCCTCTACTCCTCTACTTTGAACAAAGTTTTCTACTGTGGTATCATAAAATGCCATACTTTTTGAAGTATTACATATGGTACTTAAAACTGTACCGTTGACCTTCAATTTTACAGACCCATATATAATGGTTTTCAGAAACAATTGGCTAAATCTGCCTGTTCAGAGATATCTATGGGAGTTTAAATACAGTATCTGAGAATACTACAACTGTGTGCTAGGCAGCATATTGGCAGTCATTATTTGCATCTGTGCTAAATGCGACATTTTGTTTCCTTTTATATTTACCACAGTAGAAGCTGTTTATGTCCATTGTCACATATCATATACCCACAGTTACAAAACTGTGGCTTGTTAGCCACATATAGTTCACCTAGATCAGGAGTGGCAAACCTGTGGCACATAAAGAGAAATCACATTGCACATAATTTATCATATGATTTAGATTTATCATTTGTCTTTTTCAATCATACTTTCAGTTTATCACCCAATTCTCTTTTTTCAAACAGCTTTTTTTTACATTTATTCTAATTAAAGGATATTTGTTTGTTTAATTTATTTAAATATTGTTATTTGAAGTCTTAAACTTTGGTGCACATAAACATCTTTAAAGCTAATTATGCTTACTACACGGCACATGAACCCAAAAAGGTTCACCACCCCTGATTACCCTTATTGCATCTCTGGTATATGGGCCCTCCTACCTTATTTCTTAGCATTAGGGATCTGACATTGGTGTTATTCTTCTATGTATATATACAATATATACATAGGTTATGTATAAAATACCATTCCAATATCAGATGCAGCTCTTGCATACTTCTGATATATGATATACGACTCCCACAGATTAACAGAAAATGAAAGATATGGATTATAGAGAACAGAGCAGCTTGATGTAATTAAAATGGGCACAATTTCAACCGTATGCATACTATGTAAATTCTTTCCTTGGCAAGTGAAATTCAAGAGAAAAGTTGCAAGGCTGAAGACCAAATGTGCAAAACTAATGCTTAATGTAACATTACGATGCTTTGATAATCCTAAATTGATTGACTAAATAAACTTCAGAAGTAGGCATAAAACATATGAGAAAAATAATATGTGATAATGAAAAAACAAAGACTAAACATCATTCATTCAGTGCTATTTCTGTATTCTTAATCTTATAAAATATGTCAAATGCTGTTTAATTTGGCATATTTTATAAGATTAAGAATACAGATTTGATAAGTTATTACATGAATGGGTGGTAAGATGAGTTAAAGATGTTGGCCATTTTGAAAAAACTAACTTTGCTTTAAGCATAAAAATAATATCCGATTTAAATCCCATTTAATTAGTTCTATATATATATAAAAATACTTACAATTTGTCGGCCAATATTTAGACCAAATTTCCAAACTGGTTGTCTGATATTCTCCTAATTTTACACCAAGTAATACGTGACTTATTTCAATAGGTATGGGAAATTTAATAATAATATTAACCGGAGGTTTGATAAAGTATTCGGCACAAAATCCATTCTTTCTCACGGCCTGATTGATGGCTATTAAATTAGTGACGTCGTATCCGTCGCGGCATACGTGGCTGCTCGATATCGCTGGAGAATGATGTTCTTGACAAAAATTAACAGCCATCTTCAAGATGTTTTATATCTTTCTGCTGTAGCTCTGCATTTATCTGTAAGACAAATGTGTGTAAACATCAATACTGAAAATGACTTAAATATCTAGAATAAATGAAATTTTCTATAAAACAATATATATATATTTTTATTTATTTGTAATCTTCAGGGAAATCCAAAATAATTTGGTACTGTGTGAATCCAGTTTACACAGGCTTTACCATATTTTTTACATACTCATAAATTACTTAATCTGTTTAATAAAGTATCTTCTCAAAGAAAATAAATGTAACAAATAACAAGCAATTATTTATTGTAACATGGTCACAATGCCAGGCTGAAATCTTTTTATCATATTTTTAATTTATTTAATTTAAAATATATGCTCTCCACCTCAAATTACTGTTGTGTCTTGCCCCTGTACATCATATTTTTCCATTAGTAATGGAGTCATGCCAACCATCATCCTTTTGGGAAAAATTTTTGAATTGAAATAATTTGTCTTCCGGTTTGCGTCGGAAGTTCATATATAGTTAATCAAGGCCTTTGGCCCATAAGATTAATGAATAACAGATGGACGACAGTGGGAATTTATAGGTCTACAATGTTTGCAAATTGCAGCCTAATAATTCAAGACCATCCTACAATACTTTTGTTGAATTAACTTCATTCATGTCTGGAACAGATTATCCTATCAAACAAAAAGATCACAGCATTTAAACAGAAGAACTATAGAATAGCAAATTACAATAAAGTAAAACATATGTACAGTACCTAGAGGTTTTACAAGAGTGTGACTATCCATTTGCCTCAAAATCTGATCAATTAACTGATTAACAGCAGCAGTCTGGCTGGATAACACAGATAAAAACATCAATGCTTTGGAAGAAATGATATGAGAGGTTTCTAAACACAAGTTTGAATCTAGAATACATTGGCCTCAAGAACTTAATGGTTTACTCAGAAAACAGTTAGAATTTAATTAGCATAATGAAATTCAAATGTCAAATCTGATAGATGAACAAAAATTTTCCTAACTGGATATATGCCTTCATCTCATAAAAGAGAAATCCATAAGAAAATAATAATAATTTGTGTAATATGGTACTTATGAATATTACATTGACTTGGTACAGTGATAAACACAAAATTGACATTTCTCATTAGTAGAGAATATCTAACAGGCTATATCAAAAGATGATTACGTATTCATGCCGTGGATAACCACCATTCCTACAGTTATTCTGACACAAAATGGAAACTGTAGACATTGAAGTTAGTATTTAGCATCTACAAATTTCCAGTATTTCTCATCTCACTTACTCAATATTCATCTAGCAAATTATATCAAATATTTCCTGGGCAGCACTGAGTAACTTCACTTAATATTTATAAATCTAAACTGTACCATTAATTTCTTATAAACCTGTCTTTTAAAATCAAATGATATCAAAAATAATTTGTATCAATCATAGAATGTCATTCATTCAGTATCATTATAGACCTACTTTTTGTTTAACATTAAATCCTAATTTTCTTTAACCAGTTTATATAACAGAAAAATCTGAGATATATATTTATATTGCAGTTTTTCTGAGATATAAATATATATCTCATAAAAATCTGAGAAATAAAACTATATTATAATATACACTACTTCAATCACATTAACAATTTATGAAAATTCACCTAAAGTCTAGAGAATGAGTTACAGAATAGCACCAAATAGCCTAATTGTTCCTTATTAAAGTAGATTTATAGTCCAGTTACATCATCCAACTATAGTAGCAATATTTGAAGAGTTATGTTGTTCAATCTGCTATGAATTTGTAACCTTAGGCTTGCCATAAATTATGCACAGAAGTTATGGAGTCGAGCCAAGTATATTATTTATGATTGTCAACTTTTCCTACTTTTTACAAATGCTAAACTTTGTAGCGCAATATGTTTCGGATATAAATTCAAGATTTTGTATACATACTGTGCGGTAAATGGTTCCCAGGTTAATTTATCACATTAATCACAGTTGTGACCATTTTGCCAATCGCACGTGCAATAAACTAGAGACTGACACTTTACACATACATCGGTCTCTCTGTTAGATACATCAACAAGTGGTAACACAACAATTTTATGTATGCCACTCTGCAAACATGTTGGTATATAGAGACTATTAGATAGCAAATACTTTTCAGTCCTATCTTAATCACTTCATAACCTATTTTTCAATGTTAAATTAGAAACCATTCTATGATAAATTATACAGCAAAATCATTTAATCATTCTTCATTTGTGCTGGTTGATGTTAGTTTGGGTCCAACATGCAAATAATAAGTAAAAATTGGGCATATAGTACATTTAATGTTTTACATGTCATTTGAGGCCTAATTTCCTTACAGGCATTTTACAGGTATTCATAAAACAAAGGTCCCTAGAAATCAAAAAGCATCCAGTTTGCCAAATATACTCCACTAAAGAACACCATAGTTGCCATTACAATAATAAATAACATGAAGCAGTGTTGGCATGTCAGATTGAGCATACTTGGCCTCAATAATGGCCAGGTTTATTCATAAATTAATGTAATCTGTAGTCATTATCAGCATAAAACTTGCTAAGTGCTGCTTAGATGTTTCCCATAAATTAAAAATTATTAAAAAATATAAAGGACACATTGCTTGGTAAAGTGGCTTTAATTAATTAAAACAGTCAGGTAAACAAACCACTGAGGTAATCTGTTTTAAATGAAACAGACATTAGTTGGCTTATCCATTGTCTATTATTGTCATTGATTATGCAACTGTATTAAAGCCATTTTACCAAATAACAAACACATAGATTTCTTTTAAGAAGCAAGCAATTTATTCACCGATCAAGCACAAAAGCATTAAACTTAACTTGGAGATATATGACTCAGCATCTAACCTATAAATTGCATAAGCAATCAAAATTGTAAATAATTATAGTCATAATCATGTTTAAAAAATTTTTTCAATAAGTAATTTAATTGGACTGCAATTTTCAAATTGCAGACCCATAAATTCCCATTGTAGTCCATCCATCCATTCATTAATCTTAGAGGTCAAAGGCCCCAATTCGATTAACTATATACAGACTTCCAGTGTGGACCATAAGTCACATAATTTTTTAAAATTAATGTATGAATAAAAATTGCAGCCCAACATTGTCACCACATCACAATAAATAATTCTTTTTAACACATCATTAACTAATGTCACATTATATAGTAATCTTTATAAACATTAGAGTCTGTCACAAAAAAAAATTAATTAAGGATTATTTGCTGAAAATCAGCACCTTTAACTCTTCGTTTGGCACGAGTTAGGGTACAAATGCAGTTCCAAACGAGGAGTTTGGGAGTCCAAAGTTTGGGTTTTTGGGAGGTCCAATCCTCCCAAACCGTAGATCCCAAACAACCAAAACCACCATACATTTACAGCTCTGAACCAGACGTTTGGGACCTTATCAGAGCCGTAGACCACACTCACGAGAGCAAAAACATCAACGGAACCACACCACCAAATTCCACCCTTGGCAAGAACCATCTCCCTAAACAGGCCCACTTCCAAGTTGTATGTGATTGGCAGTCACATCCTGCCACAAAAGACCATTGGATTTAACTATTTAGCCCAGACGATTACGTCTGCTTCGAGTAGTCCACTCGACTGTTTGCGGAGTACAGTCGACCCCCCTATAATTACGGTCCCTATAATTACGATTCCTATAAAACTACGAAAAAATTGCTACCGGTATCCGTAAAAAATAGTAAAAGTTCCCTATAAACACCTCAAACGTCATCAGGCAGCCGAACTACTTTCCCGCCGTCCGTAGCGCCATGCTACGGAGAGATTTCTATCGTCTGGACAGTATTATATAAATTATATATAAATTAGGTACTGTACATATAATTATATATTAATTATATATAAATTAGGTACTGTATATATAATTATATATTAACTTATTGTAACTTTGTTATAATTAAATATATAATTTCCGCCGTCTAGCGTGGCGCCACGCTACGGAGATTTTTACGCTAACTATCGTCTGTCAGTATGTAAATTAGGTACCGTAAGTCTAATACAGTACTGTAATTTTATACATTTCTTGTGAAAGAAACATTTCTTATTCAACGGCGATTAAAATTATTTATATTAATGATGTCTCCGAAGTTCTACGAAGTTTTCACAGAAAAATAAGTTGTTAGAAATCGGCCGCTCTTTGCTGAGCTGTTCCGCGACGAAAACAATGTTGAGCAATGGCAATGTCGAATGGTGACACTCGGTAAGTAATCCTACAATTTTTTGTTTATAGCGTAGTTTATACGGATTATTCCCAAAAAATATATACGTATTTTGGAAATGTTGAGTCGGATTAGTCTAGAATCGATTAATTTTATGGAAGAAAATCTTTCAAACAGCCGTAGTCCGTAAACTTGACACGTGTCGGGTTGTGATTGGAAGGATTCGTAAGAAATCGGATTCCTAGAGAATGGAACGTATCTCTATCTTATAGGGGGGTCGACTGTACTCGGCACCGTACAATTTTAGGGGGTTGCGGGTGATCCTCTCCACCGAAGCACACGACTACACGCAGAGCATCGGCCAGGAACCGCAATATACCGATTCGTGGTAAAAACCAACCTTCAGAGGCAAATAACCGGCAAAGGGTCGCACGTACCGGTACGGTTCTATCATCAACAAAAGTTTCCACAGGTGCCAAATCCCTCATTCAGAGTCAACACCTTACCCTTTTAGGGGGTTGGGGTTCAAAGTTTAAATGTTTTTGGTTCAAAAATTTTGAGGTTTTGACCCCAGACACGTGGTTACAGCTCTGATAAAGTCCCATTAGAGCCGCAATTTTTCCGGCGTTATTTTTACGTACGTAATAAGTGACCTAGAAGTAACTTGGTCCTACGAAGAATAAAAATTAGCGAATTACGAGTTGTTTAAGTAATTATCTTCAGTAAATATAAACAAAAGAAGGAACTTAAATATTAATTTGCATAGGAAATTTACGTTTGAAAAGACTTTTAAATTACGTAACTATCGACTTACGTCGTCTCGGTTATTCCTCGTAAGTCGTTCTCGAGCGGTGGTCGAGATTATGGCTACTCTCTAACTACGAGTTGGCCGATTAGTACAGATCGATGTGTATACTTGGGATAATATCGTAATGGCGCTTATAACCCCTAATTACTACGTACTAACTTGGTAAAAGCGCCCTGTTTGCCGAATATGCCCCACTAAAGCGAGTAGTAGCCGCCATTACGACGGAATAAATAACATGATATAAAGTGTTGCCAGATGATATAAAAGTCCACGTAGATTTGACGTCATCTCTTCTGTTAAATGATGCCAAATTGGCGTAAAAGTGGGCAATATCTCAATGTTTAAAATTAGAATCGTAACCTACGAGATATATTCGAGGCCTGGAAACAGACCGAAGTCTTCGGACTGGCCGGGCCTCTAGTGTCTTAATGTCCTTGAGACAGTAAACGAAAAAAGAACAAGGAAAATTATGAAAAATAAAAAAAATCACGCTGGCCATTATAGATACATTTTTATATTTTTAAAAATTAATTAATTTAATTCAAATAATAATTTAATAATCAAATTAAAATTGAACATTTCATTTTTTGAAAGTTGATTTTCCAGATATTTTTCGTACATATTTCGCAGAGGGCGCCTCTGAAATAACCCTCGTTCCATGCGTTGAGCCACGTGTTTTAATGTTTATGGAACGTGATCGCTGGTTATATCTAAATATTAATAATTTGAAAATATAAATATATTGTTATTAGTTAATGATTTTAGATATAAGAATGACAAGTTTAGGCGTCGATTTAGTTATTCAGGAAGATATTTCGAGTAACCCTAGATGCTCACATGGTTTGTTATTCATATACTATATAAATTAAGAGGGTTGGACTGGTTGGCTGAATTGGCTCTCATGGATTCATCATTGACTTTGCATTGAAACCCACAGCAGTGCATTTCCCTCCTTGCTGGCACATCTCATATATAGTGGTATCTGTGGGCATTTATGGAAATTGTAACCGGTGTTACTGGTAACTGCTGTTAGTTACTAGTAACACTGGTTAATTTCCAAACGTGCTCTATGACAGATGGTTGGCAATTGCCTTCAGTGCATAATGGGTGTATCAACTGCCTTCAGGCAGAAGTGTGGTTCATTGCGAAAAGCCACATAAGTGTTCTCTGGGTTGCATTAGTCAGAGGTCTTGGTATGTGATGTTAGGTTACTAGGCATTGACAATGCTACTTTCACCTTTTTGGGCTCTAATGATGATCAGATTCTGATTTGGGAACATTGATAATGCCGAAGGGCAGTACGGGCCCTGATGTTGACATAATGCAAAGTCAGTTCGGATCCAGCCAATTGGTCCAGCCCCAAATTAAGATATTATAAAAAGATGTAAAGTAATTAATTTTGTATATCTTTTAAGGTCCAACATTATTGTTTACAAAATTTGTGAAAGATGCTAGAAAAACTGGAAGAAGGTTTTATGCCTGTTCTGCTTGCAGAGATAGAAAAGAATGCCAGTTTTTTCAATGGGAAGATGAGAAGATGTCTTCTTGTAGGAAAAATCACTGGGAGAATGAATTAAAGAAAACACAGAATAAATTATCACATAAGCAATGTATAAAAAGAATGAAGCAAATTTTAAAACTTCAAGAGTCTGAGAGAAGATTTTGTAAGACTTGTTTCTGCTTTGTTCTGCCCAATGAACAGAAAGCTCACGGTCAACACGTTGTTTGTTGTGTGAAACAGGAAGAATTAAGAAAACCGAGTAACTTTGTTTTACCTGTAATAAATAACAAGAAAGAAGCAGTTAAGTATATTACGATTATTATTTTGATAAATTTTTTTATTTATTATTTTATTGGGCTGTAATTTTTAGATTACAGACCTATACATTCCCACTGTAGTCTATCTGTTTGTCCTTTGTTAATCTTGAGAACAGAGTTAGACAGATAAAATCAAGACCAGATATGGAAAGGTTAGGAGTTGGAGGTTCCAATTAAGTATCGGTATATATGAACTTCCAGTCTGAACTAGAAGTCACATGATTTATTTATTTATTTTACACAGGCAATGTTGCTAAGACAATAATTACCATCTCCTGATACAATAAACAAATCTCATTAAAATATATAATAAAATGCAAAATAACAATAAAAAATGTATAAAAATAATAAATTAATTAGAATAAGAATTAACAAATTAAGCTGTCTACTCTTTGTTACAGACGGATTTTTGTGGTACTCTAAGTGCAACTTGTTCACTTTGCTACTGATTTATAATAATGATAGAAAAAGACATAATTGTGGTATTAAGATGGCAGAAGGGAATGTAGAGGCATAAAGATATAAATTTAGATTAAAAATTAAATTCAATACTACATAATTGATTATTTGTAATATTTCAAAATGCATGTAGTGAAATACCATATACAATATTTTGTACTTCAACTTTTTGCTTCTATGCTATTTCTAAAGATTTAATTTCTAGTAGTGAATCATTATGAAAATTTTTATATAATGATTGAAAACAGTAAATTATTAATAAAAATTTTAAATATTGATACATTATTCCAGAAAATATATCAAATAAAGAAAGATATTGTCCATAAATTACATAATGCTATTTTTTATCTTTCAACTACCATCCCATCTCCTGTAATGCTCTGTAACTTTGTCACACATACCCATTCCAAAATTATATATATAATGCATATCGTTGATCAATCCTTTTAGTTGTTCTAAGAATATATACACAGCACAGGGTACCACAATGTTATATTATTTTATTAATTACATATATAACATACAAATTGGTGATGTAAATAGTATGGGCTCTTGCGTAAAACTTTGGAAACAAAAATGAATTATTTCGTTACCCAAGGGTGAGACTCCAGCATCATGTGACATTTTTGAAAAACTAATATCCGTAATTACGATTATTTTTATGAACATTTAGCTTAGAATTAACAATTTACTTTGTTTACAGATTTAATATGATTTATTTTTTGTGAAAAATTATGATATAGCATGACTAAAAAGCACTTTGTATTTACTAAATTGAATAAAAAGGTATATAAATCTTGAGTATTATTCAAATCAGCATTTGAAGCTATTTATACTATGTGTTTAATACGTTTGCTCTTAACAATCTTTGCATCTTAGGAGAGAATTGATTGGCATATATTTTCTTCTGATCAGAATCCTTAAGATTTATGCTTGACTCAAAAGCAATCCAGCAAAAACATCCACAATGTAAGCTAAAAATGTTCAAACATTTTCAATTATGTTAATAGCTGTTATCAGGTACTTGATGTTCTAAAATATGATTGTTGGATTGCTTGGTGAGTTGGTGTAATTTACAAATATATCCACGTAATTCTTAAGATTTCTTTTTTGAGGAGCTATCTTGAATATAGAATATACTAAACTAATTCGAACTGGAAAAGTTTGGGTCACGTACTGATTGTGAAAGCTTCTCTACTCTGAAGTGTTTTCCAAAGTGTGACATCAAATCTTGAGATAAAATTGAGGAAAAGTGAAGTTGAAATTGGGACAAACACATTAGTTGAATTTCATTGCTTAAAAAGTTGATACAAATGGTATTTGAGTAGGATTTATATATATTATTGTTTAATTATAATAATATTTTAAACTTGTTAGGTAGCTTTGAGCCAAGCTGTATGTTATGTTTGTTATCTAGTTTCATTTTCTCTAGTTTATTGTTATTTTGATAAATTTTTTTATTTATTATTTTATTGGGCTGTAATTTTTAGATTACAGACCTATACATTCCCACTGTAGTCTATCTGTTTGTCCTTTGTTAATCTTGAGAACAGAGTTAGACAGATAAAATCAAGACCAGATATGGAAAGGTTAGGAGTTGGAGGTTCCAATTAAGTATCGGTATATATGAACTTCCAGTCTGAACTAGAAGTCACATGATTTATTTATTTATTTTACACAGGCAATGTTGCTAAGACAATAATTACCATCTCCTGATACAATAAACAAATCTCATTAAAATATATAATAAAATGCAAAATAACAATAAAAAATGTATAAAAATAATAAATTAATTAGAATAAGAATTAACAAATTAAGCTGTCTACTCTTTGTTACAGACGGATTTTTGTGGTACTCTAAGTGCAACTTGTTCACTTTGCTACTGATTTATAATAATGATAGAAAAAGACATAATTGTGGTATTAAGATGGCAGAAGGGAATGTAGAGGCATAAAGATATAAATTTAGATTAAAAATTAAATTCAATACTACATAATTGATTATTTGTAATATTTCAAAATGCATGTAGTGAAATACCATATACAATATTTTGTACTTCAACTTTTTGCTTCTATGCTATTTCTAAAGATTTAATTTCTAGTAGTGAATCATTATGAAAATTTTTATATAATGATTGAAAACAGTAAATTATTAATAAAAATTTTAAATATTGATACATTATTCCAGAAAATATATCAAATAAAGAAAGATATTGTCCATAAATTACATAATGCTATTTTTTATCTTTCAACTACCATCCCATCTCCTGTAATGCTCTGTAACTTTGTCACACATACCCATTCCAAAATTATATATATAATGCATATCGTTGATCAATCCTTTTAGTTGTTCTAAGAATATATACACAGCACAGGGTACCACAATGTTATATTATTTTATTAATTACATATATAACATACAAATTGGTGATGTAAATAGTATGGGCTCTTGCGTAAAACTTTGGAAACAAAAATGAATTATTTCGTTACCCAAGGGTGAGACTCCAGCATCATGTGACATTTTTGAAAAAGTAATATCCGTAATTACGATTATTTTTATGAACATTTAGCTTAGAATTAACAATTTACTTTGTTTACAGATTTAATATGATTTATTTTTTGTGAAAAATTATGATATAGCATGACTAAAAAGCACTTTGTATTTACTAAATTGAATAAAAAGGTATATAAATCTTGAGTATTATTCAAATCAGCATTTGAAGCTATTTATACTATGTGTTTAATACGTTTGCTCTTAACAATCTTTGCATCTTAGGAGAGAATTGATTGGCATATATTTTCTTCTGATCAGAATCCTTAAGATTTATGCTTGACTCAAAAGCAATCCAGCAAAAACATCCACAATGTAAGCTAAAAATGTTCAAACATTTTCAATTATGTTAATAGCTGTTATCAGGTACTTGATGTTCTAAAATATGATTGTTGGATTGCTTGGTGAGTTGGTGTAATTTACAAATATATCCACGTAATTCTTAAGATTTCTTTTTTGAGGAGCTATCTTGAATATAGAATATACTAAACTAATTCGAACTGGAAAAGTTTGGGTCACGTACTGATTGTGAAAGCTTCTCTACTCTGAAGTGTTTTCCAAAGTGTGACATCAAATCTTGAGATAAAATTGAGGAAAAGTGAAGTTGAAATTGGGACAAACACATTAGTTGAATTTCATTGCTTAAAAAGTTGATACAAATGGTATTTGAGTAGGATTTATATATATTATTGTTTAATTATAATAATATTTTAAACTTGTTAGGTAGCTTTGAGCCAAGCTGTATGTTATGTTTGTTATCTAGTTTCATTTTCTCTAGTTTATTGTTATTTTGATAAATTCTGATGCTATTAGATAAATATTTTGTATCATAATCCAGTTATTTTCCAATCATCATTTAAATTAAAATAATTTTTTATAAATTATTTATTTTTAAAAAATTGTTTTTTCTAGCAATTCTTTTTCTCCGAAAACACCGTGAAATTCCTTATAGAATCGATTGAATTACTGGGTTACGAACGATGTTTATGTATTGGAACACCAAGGTAATTTAAACAAATATTTGGAAATTAAATTTTTTTTTATTTAATTAAAATTAATTATTTGTATCATATTTTTATGATTTATAAGTAAAATTTGATACTGTTTGATTGCAGAATTCATGAGCATATACATTCCAAGTGTGAATCAAGTCTCAAAAGCCTGCTTTTGGATCTGGATGAAAGATATGTATGATAAAATTATTTATTAATCTATTACTGTAATATTCAAGTGACATTTTCTGAAATGTGTTTTGTATGTTTATCAAATTCCACTTAAAAGTTCAAATTTATTTATGCATTAGCTGAAATATTACTGGATCTGAAAGATTTATGAGATAAATGTTCTTGCAATTTATGCAAAATATATGGATTGCCCAATTGAAAAGTGGACACATGTCATATTTCATCGTGCAAAGTAACAATCGGTGGACCATCTTATGGGTGGGTAATCTCAACAAAGGTGAAACATGGGCTGCATTAAGTATTGGTGGGAGTAGATTTTATCTCCAGTAATTGGTAGATTAATTTTAGTTACAATGGAAGTGTCCTTAATTGAATAACAGGTGGTAGTTTAGTTTTTAGTAAGCTGATGGAAATGTGAGTGCCGACATCTATAGACGTGCGTTTATGATGCGTTTATGATGCGTATCAAATGAAGTGCGTTTATGATGAACAATGTTTAGGACAAACGGCAGTGAATAATTGGTGCAAGAGTTACAGAGAAGGCCATGTGCCATTTTGTCAATGTGTCAATTTGGGATAAACTGAGACCAGGTCAAGCACACACTGTAATCTCCATTGCTGTGGACAACATAATCAGAAGTGACAGACTAGTTACAACTTGTGCATCCACAAATTTGAGCAAAGGGACAGTGCAAACAATCATTTACAAACTTTTCCAATTCAGAAGAGTCTGTGCACAATAGGTATCAAAAAAAATCTCACTGGAGATTACAAGACTACGCATGTTTCTGGGTCTACAGCACTTGACATGATGTAATGAAGACCCTGAAACAAAGAACATGAACAAGCAATGGACACACTTGTCCTCCCTGGGACATCATAAGTCTGTAATGATGCCTGGTGCTGAAAAAGTGATGTTGACTTTCTTTCTTGACTGTCATGGACTGCTGCATGTTGTGTATGGTAGCATGGACTGACTTTATGCTACCATACACAACAATCAACTCAGAATGCTATTGTGAAACTGTTACTGCTGTATAAAGCAATAAAGTCGAAATGCCCAGGACCCCACTTGCAAAAAGTCATCCTGCTTCACGACAATGCCTGTCCCCGTAAGGCAAGTGCAACCAGTGCCACATTATAGATATTCTGCTGGAAGNTCACTTGCAAGTTTCAGGGGTCTTTCCTAATCTCCTTCATTAAGCTGGATGTTTACTTTTCCACATTTACAGAGTCATAGACTAATTCTACCAAAATTCATGAGCATATACATTCCAAGTGTGAATCAAGTCTCAAAAGCCTGCTTTTGGATCTGGATGAAAGATATGTATGATAAAATTATTTATTAATCTATTACTGTAATATTCAAGTGACATTTTCTGAAATGTGTTTTGTATGTTTATCAAATTCCACTTAAAAGTTCAAATTTATTTATGCATTAGCTGAAATATTACTGGATCTGAAAGATTTATGAGATAAATGTTCTTGCAATTTATGCAAAATATATGGATTGCCCAATTGAAAAGTGGACACATGTCATATTTCATCGTGCAAAGTAACAATCGGTGGACCATCTTATGGGTGGGTAATCTCAACAAAGGTGAAACATGGGCTGCATTAAGTATTGGTGGGAGTAGATTTTATCTCCAGTAATTGGTAGATTAATTTTAGTTACAATGGAAGTGTCCTTAATTGAATAACAGGTGGTAGTTTAGTTTTTAGTAAGCTGATGGAAATGTGAGTGCCGACATCTATAGACGTGCGTTTATGATGCGTTTATGATGCGTATCAAATGAAGTGCGTTTATGATGAACAATGTTTAGGACAAACGGCAGTGAATAATTGGTGCAAGAGTTACAGAGAAGGCCATGTGCCATTTTGTCAATGTGTCAATTTGGGATAAACTGAGACCAGGTCAAGCACACACTGTAATCTCCATTGCTGTGGACAACATAATCAGAAGTGACAGACTAGTTACAACTTGTGCATCCACAAATTTGAGCAAAGGGACAGTGCAAACAATCATTTACAAACTTTTCCAATTCAGAAGAGTCTGTGCACAATAGGTATCAAAAAAAATCTCACTGGAGATTACAAGACTACGCGTGTTTCTGGGTCTACAGCACTTGACATGATGTAATGAAGACCCTGAAACAAAGAACATGAACAAGCAATGGACACACTCGTCCTCCCTGGGACATCATAAGTCTGTAATGATGCCTGGTGCTGAAAAAGTGATGTTGACTTTCTTTCTTGACTGTCATGGACTGCTGCATGTTGTGTATGGTAGCATGGACTGACTTTATGCTACCATACACAACAATCAACTCAGAATGCTATTGTGAAACTGTTACTGCTGTATAAAGCAATAAAGTCGAAATGCCCAGGACCCCACTTGAAAAAAGTCATCCTGCTTCACGACAATGCCTGTCCCCGTAAGGCAAGTGCAACCAGTGCCACATTATAGATATTCTGCTGGAAGATACTAGAACATCTGCCATATAGTCCTGTTGCCATGCGACTTTCACATTTTCAGATCTCTTAAGAAAGCTTTGCAAGGGCAAAGAATCATTTCAGACAATGAGTTGAAGGATAGCTTGGAAGAATTTTTTTACCAGCAGCTACCAAATTCAACACAAGGAGCATTGATCTGTTTGTGAGATGTTGGGATCTTTGTCTGAATAAACTTGGAGATTTCTTTTATATTTGCAATAAATATTTCCCAGTTCCGATATATGTCTAATTTTCATCAGGCAAGCCTTATATTTTTAATATAGATGACTTTTATAGTGTTTCTTTTGGTTTTTGAAAATTGTCTTTCTTGTTTTGTCTATTCTGTATTTCTATTCTGTTAGTGTTCACTTATGATATTGCAGAAGAAAAAATTATATAACTGTTTATACTCATTAGTTCATTTCTTAAGGATCTTTTCTGTCTAATGTACAGGATGTATCTGAACTCGTCAAAAAATTTGCATATGTAAACTGTATACCAAAGTAAGAAAGTTCTCATAAATGTGGGTCCTAAAAGCAATCAAAAATCATGAAGTTAAATCTTCTACACAACTGGATGAGAATTAAACATAAAATACATTTAAACCTTGAATCAGTCCAGCACCAAGATATAATTCATGTAACAAACATTCTTGATCTTCTTCTAAGATCTGCTTTGGATTTAAACTGCTGGAATAGAATGCTTCAAGTTTAACATTCTAAAATGAATTATGCCTTGGTGCTAGATTGATTTAAGGTTTGGATATGTTTTGTGTTTAATCAAAAGTCTGCAAACTTAGTTAACAGGTCAATGCCCCTCATAACATGTATTGAAAATGTGTCCCCAAATAACTTTTGACAAGCTGCATTGTAGACTGTTGTACTTCTTCAAAGATACCAGGTTATTGCCAATGTCCATTGAATGCCTGGACAATCTGCCTAAATTATCAATGTCTAATGGTATACTAATTGTTTTACATGGCCCCAGAAATAAAAGTTAAGAGGTATGAGATTTTGGAAGTGAGGTGGCCACTTCATGGGTTCATTTTAGCCTATCCATTTATTTGGAAACTTTTTGTCCAAGCACTAGTGGGCTAAAATGCAGCAGATTGTCATGGTGCACAAATCCCATGTCTATTAAATTGCAAAGGAACATAATGAACTCTTTGGGAAGTATGCTTGTTGTCAGCTGCCTCAAAAACTGTTGGTACTGTACAAAGATCTTGTGAGACATGGAGGTATGTCTTATGGACTAATCAGTTTATCTCCCACAATTCTTGCCCAAACATTGAGAAAGACGCTTGATGATGATGATCTTTAATCCCATATAGATTGCCTTTGGCTCAAATGTGGTAGTTGTAAAAGTTAAACATTTCATTTCTTGTAAACATTGCTTCCTTTAAAAAATAAATTAATTTTGGAGAGGAACTGGTGCATGTTTGCACATGTATGCTTATCATTGCCCATTTGTTGTGGTTAATCTTTCAGTTTCAGTCTCTAAACAGATTAAAATGGTAGGGATACAGACTATCTTCATTCAAAATTTTTCATACAGGTGGTTGTGATGAATCCACTCCAAAACTTCAGTTCTCCAGTGCTAATTGAAGATCAATTGGTAACTCAATTTAGGACATGTCCCATCACTTGCAAGTTTCAGGGGTCTTTCCTAATCTCCTTCATTCAGCTGGATGTTTACTTTTCCACATTTACAGAGTCATAGACTAATTCTACCAAACATTCAAAGATATGAGATATTTCAGTTTGGTTACAGATCTTGGTAAATTCTACAGGTCTCAAAGTAATTTCCATTTTACTCACCATAAGTGCACGTCTGTCTTTTCTGCAAATTTTTAATGCCTATTTAAGAGAGATTAACACAATCACTGTTGATAATTTTTCAAGACATATCCCAGCATTCAATTCACTGGAAGATATTTACATATTTTGAATATTTTATGCATTGTTTTTGCCGTTGTTTGCTCCATGTATGATATTTAGAATAAGTATTTTAAAAATGGGTGCTTTTAGGATCATGTTTACATACATATAATGCAGTTTGGGTGCATATTTTCTGACAGATATTCAGATATACCCCATATATGTATATCAAACTTTCTTATTCTTATTTCCATTTAATTTTAAGTTACTTGTACCTACTTAAACATTATTCTCCTACTTTTATTCTTTATTTTTAAGTATTTTTCTTTCATATTGCTGTGAGAAGTGAATAGAGTAAATTGGTTCTAAAGCTTTCAAAGTCCCTTTTCAATACTACACATTGCCTTTTCAAGACTCACGAAACAAACTACTGTACAATTCTCTTGTCTTTGTTGACAAAGTGTTTTTCCATGATTCAATTTGGATAATGTACAACATCATTAAATAAGTCACGTTTAATCAGGACACTCAAATATTCTTGTGTAATCATTCAGTATAATGTCATTTGGTCAAATTTTATATCATATTTAGCCTTTTATATTATTTAATGAAATTAAGAAATTATATTTGATTTTCAGTATTTACTCAACTTAAATACTTAACTTATTTTCTATTCTTTTCTTTTATTTTTAGAAAATATTTTATAATCAAGAAACATTTTGCCATTACAATATGTTTAATAATTATTTTTTTGATGGAGAAGAGTCCGAAAAAATTTTTTATGATTATTTGAACGACGACAAGATTGTCGTCTTGTTAGATCCGCCTTTTGGCGGACACGTCGATGCCTTGATGCAAACGTACAAGACTATTTCTCGCAAATGGACAAGTATAACTGGTGTTAAGACTGAACTTCCAATCTTGTTGTTTAATCCCTATTTTATGGAACCGAGATTGACCGAAGCAATGCCATCATTAGTTATGATGGACTATAAGGTGAGATAAAGTACATATTTCCATTCATTCTTCGGTATTATTAAAGAAGCATTTACATTAGTCAATTTGATATGACTTGGATGGCTATGCAATAAGAAGTTAGCCCTTATGGGATCTGAGATTGAATGTTGCTCGATACCATAGTTTCATAAGGGCAGTAAGGGTCATTTTATCATCCCCATTCTTCACTCATCCTGTTTGAAAATTAAATCAAATGAATCCATCATTTAATTTAATTCTCAATAATTGATGAATTTACTTCTGTTATCAGTCAGAAAGCTCACAAAGAATCTGAAATAAAAAAAAATTTGATTTTTAATAAATTGTTTGCTGTCAAAATTTTGTATGAATGGTGCCTTGAATTAGTAACTGTCAAAGAGAAGTACACAACTCGATTTAAATGACAAGATTAGTAAACATCTGTGGTTGGGATTGGAAATTGGCATTGAATGAAATGCTGGTGTTGACCTCTCCCATAGCCCAAGTAAGTCTCAAGTTATAATCTGGAAATAGATAAGACACCAGTTGGAAAGTGTCTCAAGAACACTGGTACTTCTTGATCTGTTTACTCAAGAACTCTGGATTAATCCTGTGCTATTACTGTACTCTTTATCACTATTAATTTCTTTTCATTGAAGTGTGTGCGCTTGTGCCTCTCTTCAATGAGAACGACAACTCTTCTCTACTTTTTGGATCCAGAACTTTTCATCTCTTTCTGACAAACTCTCTCAGCATGGATACCTAATTGAACAAATGCAGAGAATCTAACTTTGTGGACTTTCACCAAATTTAGCAACAACCTGAGGATTTGTAAGTGTCTTGCAAAAAATGGTTATGACAAACAGTGATCTTGCTTTCGTACCAGACACACACACCCACACATGATTCCATTTTATAATACTGTCTGGCATATAAAACTCTCTCTCAGGAATTTCTCCCTTTCCAGTGGATCTTTCAATATCAAACTATGATGAGAGTTGTGTGGACCTTGTACTAACATACATTATATGTATGCAGGGTATGATGAGTATGATTTCAAATATGCCATGTAAGCCTCCTATTACTATTGGATATCGAAACTTTAGTATTATAAAGATTAGAACCCATATTGTCAATAAATCTTTGAGAGCATGAAGTTTTTGAACAGTTAGCTTCATTATATATAAACAAAGTAACTCTAACTTAGTAATTTCATGTTAAATATGTATACTTTTCCAACTTATCTAGATTCTAACAGTTTGTAATTTTTAATAATTGTTATTTTTGAATTAGGTTCAATATATAAATCACTCTTCATTTCACAATAATCAGAAAGGAAGAAAGTTCGGCTCACCAGTGCGCATTTTTACTAACATAGAAGCTAAATATTTCAAATTACCAGATGACGATTACAGGTAAAACTATTTTTTTTTACTATTAATTATACTAATTTAATGAAAGTTCATATCCATGTTTTATTTCAGGTATTGTAAAATATGTAAGAGGTATGTTGCCAGAGAAAACAAGCACTGCTTCAAATGTAATGCTTGTACCTCCAAGGTTAGTATAAATGTTATATCTGAGTTATTTATTGAGGAATATTTTGATTTTATTTTTTGTACATGGGGAAAATTTGCAAGAACAATTCTTAAATTCGAAATAAATAACACAGTCATATATACAGAGTGCACAGTAGAGTCCTTTTACACTGACATTTTTGCAAATCACACCTAAATTCAAAATTTCCAGCAAACAAAAGTCAAAAACTGACATTTGTGAACAGCTCACAGCATATGACAGTCATGAATGCACCATGAAGACATGGAATTGAGATATACATATGTTATAAATAAACATGAATGAACACAAGAAATACATATTGCCTGTACTCAATGTGCTCATTAGCATTTCACACCTGCTCATGCTATTCATGTATGTGGAATGTCCTTTTGTTCTAAGTTGGTTGAGCTCTACGACTTTGTAACTGACTCTTTTTTCATATTGTGCATTATTTTTGAGATATGAGTACTAATTTCTGAATTTTACTGTTATGAGTGCTGCAAGCAGTTTCGTCTTGTAGTGCATAGCCACTTTATTACAATTATACATTACACTCATAACTTTAGCTATCTATGTTCATCAGTTATGTGATTGTATAAGGACTTTGCATCCTATACAAACAAGCTCAAAGATTAATGTAATCAAATTATTAATGCCAAAGCATTTTTGGACTATATTTTGGCCATCAATTAATTATTGAAACTTAATAATTTGGACTAAATGTAGATAATTAAGTTGCCATCTTGTCTATTTTGAATTAAATTTTAATAATTTAGATTATTCTGAAAGAAAAATAGACCCAAAATGGGATTCAAATTCACATCATGTATGATGCTTTGTTATAGGTTATTCTACCCCAACTGCCCTCCAACCTTTTTTGCTTCTAGAATAATTAATTTGTTCTTTTCAAACTGATTTATAATCAATTCCAATTCATAACATGCCATTCAATTTTCTAATTCTTCTCCTGAGAATGACAAACTGTTGAAAATGCTAGTAAAACTGTTATATTATTTTGTTTGATTAAATTCATTAGCATTGGTAAACAGACTTGCTTCTTATTTCTAATCTTTTTGTTGTTGAATGCCCATACTTTTCTGTTGAGGATCTTAATCAGTCCCACAAATCTCAAAATTCTTCCCATGATATAAATTGCAAAAGTTTATATTAAAAACAAAACCTGTAAAATACGTAATTACTGACAACCAACACGAATTAGTTTTAATTAAATAAAAAACAAGCATTTTCCTTCATTTTTAATGCTTATCATCAGGTTTAGAACTAATAGAATACGTGTTTTAAAAGAATAAAAACTTAAAACTTTTGAACGTCATGAAAATACACATGTGTTCAATGTTGTGTTTAACAAGGTTCTTCAAACCAGATTACAATTTAAAAAAATACCCGGTTTTTCTAAAATATAAAATCCAAACTTAATTCAAGATCTATTGTAAGTCAAAGCACACCCTCCGCACGGTTGATAGCGAGTCCATTTCCTTAAAATTAATTGCTGTCTATTTTAAATTTTAAATGCTTTGAATATTTTATAGCTTTATATCGGTAGTTTCTTGGAGCTTGTGTAAACAAAACCTGATGAACTTAACTGGGAACAGCGTCTATTCAAACAAAATAATATAATAGAAACTCATTAAATGAAATAAATAAACAAAAATCAACAAAAGAAAAGAAGATAACATAAAACCAATAAAATTCTATGGAGCAGAAATTCCAAATATGATACTTGATTCAGATAGTAAATACTCAGTATCGAGTATCAATAGTATTTCATTGTTATCTATTCCATATCTGTTACTGTATAATGCAGTGGTTTTCAATCTTTCTGAAGCTGTAGAACACCATTCATACATTTTTTATTATAGAGAGCATTAGCATCAATGTAATAAAAAATCCAGCAACAAGTTGCTTATCTTTCCTGGCAATATTTGGTGGTACCATCTGTTATATTTTATTTTAAAAATTTTTTATATTTTTAACTATTATAAAATGTCTAAAAGTTTAATTTTGAGGGTAGGGATGGGTTTTATATAAAAATTGTATATGTTAATAACCAGTAAAATTGTCAGGAAGTCCGACCCTACTGGAGATACACAACTCCCTTTATCTCCCAACCCCTTGACCATTAATCACCAAAATTTAATAGCATCGGTCCTCCTAATACATAAAACCTAAGTCTCCCTGCAAACACACACTAACATCCATACATACAGAAAAAACCTTCAAATTTTTTTTCATTTCTTAATGTTTCAAGGTGTCCTAAGCCCAAAAATGTGAAAATCTTGTGCAGGGTCATTTTTTGATTGATTGCCATACTTTCCCTCTTATATGTAACAGCCAGGAAAGTAAAAATTAAGCAATTCCATGCTTACTATTCTCACAAAGCAATAAAGAAATAAATTATTAAATGTTACTTTATTGAATAAAACAGTAAATGTGGAATTGTCTATGAATTAAGTAATATATTGTAGTATATTGGAATAAACTTGCAGTAAAAACTGTAAAATCTTTTTAGTGGAACACAACTGTTCCACAGAAACAGTTTGAGAGCCACTGGCCTAAAGAGTAATGAATTAACAAGTATTGAGTAATGAATATTAAGCTTACAAGTACTGATTTCAGTATCTACCAATTTCTCAATAGTAATGGATTTGCACAGCACTAATATATATTATCAAAAGTCATATAATTGGAATATTGGGCTGCAATTTAAAAGAATGGTAGAACTATAAATTCCCACTGTTATTTGTCTGTCCTTCCTTAATCTCTAGAACAGTGTTAGATAAATGAAATTGAAGACCAGATATGGAAAGCTTAGGGTGAGGGAGTACCGATTAACTACGAGGTCTGTTCAGCTTTAATTTTTTAATTTTTATTCTCCAAGTTACAGATTATTGGTCTTTGTTCCCTTCAAAGCACTCCCCTCCTCTATTCACACACTTATCCCAGTGGTGTTTCCACTTTGCCAAGCAGTCCTGGTAAGCTTGTTTCAGACTGTCCTTCAAATGCTTGTGACATATTTGTTTTAATGTTATCAATGAATCAGTGCTGAAAGGACAGTTTTGAAACAAGTGTGAAAACTGTCCTTTCAGCACTGATTTTAATTTTAGAAACAAAAAAAATTTACAAGAAGCCAGGTCTGGTGAGGACAGTCATTTTGATTTTTGGCACAAAACTGGTGAATTGACAAGACTGAGTGAGCAGGTGCGTTGTCATGGTGAAGAAACCACGAGTTGTCTCACCACAACTCTGGTCTCTTTTTGTGACTTTTTTCACACAATTGTTTCAGAACACCTGCATAGTACTGACGCTTGACTGTTTGACCTTGAGGCAAAAATTCAAAGTGCATAACTCTGATTTTCTGAACATGAGTGTCATCAGTTGAGGTCATCTTCAACTGATGACACTCATCAACTGATTGAAGGTCATCTTCAACTAATTGATGACTACTTTTGAATTGGGTAAACCATTTGTAACACTGCATACAACCTAGAGCATCACCTCCATAAGCTTGATTCAAAAGTTGAAATGTTTTCATAAGTTTACCCCAGTTTCATGCAAAACTTCATGTTACATTGTTGCTTTCGTAAATTTCTCATTGCAAAAATCACTACAAACATTGAAACATTCAAAAAACAATGATTGAGGAACGAAACCAGATATCAACAATCTAAAAAAAAAATTACTTACTCGGTAGGTTATCACGAATGTAGTGTTGTCAACTTCACGACGGTAGGCACTCCATTTTTACCCAATTCAAAGAGTTTGGTTATTTTTTTGAACATACGAACTTCCAATGCAAACCGGAAGTTGTTATTTTAATTAAAAAATTTTCTACAGAAAGATGACTGATATGACTCTCATCAAAGGAAAAGTGTGATGTACAGGGGCAAACCACTACTAATTTGAGGTGATGAGAATATATTTTAAATTAAATAAAAATTGCAGCCTGGCATTGTGACAACGTCACAATAAATATTTGCTCATATTTTAATTCTTTTCACTTGATTCTTACTTTTAATTCTTACAGCAGTTCATTTTGGGTTGTAATACATTTTTTATTGCTTTATGTATAATCTAACTTACAACATATAAACTCTGAGCCTAAGGGTTTAAAGACAGTTACTGTATCTCGGTTTTTTTAAACTGTTTCCTGTGGGTATTAAGAGGCTTTTTAGCAAGCCCATTATGAATTTGGCCAAGTCCACAATGGGACAGCCAAATGACATGGGATAGGACTCGACATATCCAGTCGGAATTCCTGGAGTTTCTCAACTTGTCTGGATTTGATCCTAGATCCTCAGAATGGTAGTCTGGCACCTTAACTGCTCTCCATCTGGCCATCTCTTCCAGGGATTAAAACAGAGCACGTTATTAGTCTTATCATCTTACAATGTCAATAACTTAAAATTACAGAAACATTTGTTCGAATACAGTTAAATTCTTCTTATAGTACATATGCATAATAACAAGAATTGCCATATATTTCATTGCAATCTTAAGTTTTAAATTTAAAAAATAATTTAAGATGAAAAATTGTGAATGCAACAAATTAACATTGTCTTTCTAATTATTTATAGGATGGAAGACCATACAAACATTGCGATATATGCAAACGTTGCGTAAAGGAAAGTTACGTTCATTGCAATAACTGCAATCTGTGTGTCTTAATAAATCATAAATGTGAATTGATACAAAGAGAGAGTTCTTGCCATGTCTGTGGTGATCCCGGTCACAAGAGAAAGAATTGTCCAAAAATTGAAAGTCTGAAAAGGTTGGTTTGGAATTTGAAGTATTATTTGAATATATTAAGAATGTATCTGTGTTTGCATGTGTGAGTGTAAGTGCATGTGTTTCTGTGCATGCATATATGTGCACATGCTTGTGCATCAAGATAATTATACCAACAGTTATATAATATCAGTTAAATAATATGTCTATAATCATTGAAGATAATAGAGCTCACTTGAAGTCTGAAGCTTCCAACAGACAATCTGGCAGAGAGAGACCATTCAAACACACTTGATTCTATCCAGGATTTATTACAGTGAGGCCATGCATGAATGCATCTCAGTAACCCAGTGCACCTGTGCCCCGGACCTGGATCCAGTATTAATAAATAATATCTTGCTCTTTTTATATAAATATAAGATATAAATAATATCTTAATTTTTAATAAATGTGTAAGCAATCCAGATCAGATCTGGATCGCTTAAGCAGAAGGATGACTCAATAGTTTGCAGGGACGGTCTCTCTCTTTCAGATTGCATCTCTGAAGCCACTGGTTATGGTCTTAAGTGTGCAACTCTCACTCATATTAAGCCTGAAAATATTATATTATTCATTTATGACTTAGTATTATTATTTTTCTTAGAAAAATTCAAAATAAAGAAGTAAAAGAAGCTAAAAGAATTAAAAAAATGAAGAAATGCAATGTACTCAGTTGAAAAGAACAAGAACAAAAAATAAATTATGTAAAAGCCCATATACAGTATATTATAGAAGAATTCTTAAATGTAAACCTTAAAAAAAATGGAAATTTGTAATAAAATAGTTTTTCTTTCCATTGGAAGTGCATTAAGAATAATAATAAAAAGTTAAACAATATTATGCGTAATAATAATTTAAAATCTATATTGAACCAGTAATTATTTAAAATAGTTTCGAAAATCTACAAGTGACGGACATTTTACACCAGATTTTTGACTAATACTAACTTTTCTTATTTCTTTCCCATTGGTTAACCACTAAAATGACTTGTTCTGCTTTATCCACTCTAAGCATATTTAAGTTATTTTGCTTTAATTCCATAAAAATTAAGCGGGTGGGTCAAAGCCTCTGCTGAATAAACAACAGACCATTATCTGCATTCCAATATAACTACTTATCACTGAATAGTACCCTCTTGCCGTACGGAACCTTCGTATTTGTAGTAGTGACGGAGTTCTAAACTGCGAAAATAGAAGAGCAGAAAAAACACTTGCATAAAGCAAACTAAGATGGAAGTGATACAGTATCTTCATCCAGCTACTTAAGTGGCAGGGAAATCCTCAGATAAATTAGACAGAGGTGAAGCTACCGAAAGCTGAAGCTAGAAGACTGGGGTTTGTACCCTATATATCAAAAACAAGGATGTGATACACTTCTAGAACACTTTCCTACACCTGGCCGGCCACAACTTGTGTAGTGTCTTGCCCTTGTACATCATACATTTCTTATTAATAAAGAGTCATTATCGTAATCTAAATCTGTTCTGAAGAAAATTTTTGAATTGAAATACAGTCGACCCTCCTATAATACTGTTGATTAGTCCGTTTTATATAAATTCCATGCTGCTCACGTATTTGTAAAATCTAAGTGACTCGTACAACATGGAATTCATATAAAACGGAATAATCAACAGTGTTATAGGGGGTCGACTGTAATTTGACTTCCGTTTCAAACCGGAAGTTCGTATGTTGTTAAAATTGCAGCCAAAGAAAAACCTGTATAAAACGGAATGCAAAAATCAAACTTGTACAAAACGACGAAAATCAGCGGTCGCGATTGTTCATTGGTTCTTTAGAGCTACGTCACGAGTGATAACGACAGTCGACAATCACGTGACTACTCGAATATGACGTCACGTCGAAAGGCATCCCCTAATTTGCAAAGGGCTTAATGGGACGCATGGTATAAAACCAAATAAGTACAATACAGTAATGAAGGTGTTAATATTCATTCTGACCAGCTTAAATAGTTTTGGTATATATATAACTATTGAAGGAAAATTTTCGATTATATTTTAAAAATTAGAAAATAATTCTACAAAGTTAAATAAGATTTATTTCAAATCACTTTATAGTATTATGCATTCTGCAAATTATCTTAAATAGTTCGTGGATTTTTTAACAGATGGCGGAATGACCTATATGTAATATCAAATTACTTTAAACTTAAATTCATTTATTAGCCAAATTATAATTAATAAAAAATTCATCGTAATCCGGCAATTTCAGAAATTATCTAATCACGTTCGATATACGTTATATAATTTTATATATACTTTTAAACACGGAATAAAACGTGATAAATAAAATTTTAATTAATTTTTAAGTGTTTAATTTAAATTTAATTTCACCATTTCAAAATGAAATGGCCCCCACTTTAATATATAAACTGCGCATCCCGCAACACACGAAATTATACAAAATTTTTTTTATTATATTTAATAGAAAAGATTCTTTATAATATTCTACTTTAGTTACTTGAATTTTTTCAATTAGTTTTGTAATTTTAAAATTAAAATAGAGTATTAATTAAAGACAGTCGCGGCGCTTTTCCGACATACGCGCCGCGCCGTATACAACACAAGATGTAAATCAGAAAAAAAAACATTAAAAACAATAAATTTGATAAGATTTCTATCACTTTCTTCGATTTTATTTAGTGATGATTAATTAATTACTTTTAAAAGAGAAATTATCGCTAGGAAAATACCACTTACCTTAATTAACTTTGAATGTATCTTGTGTTGTTTCTCATCGTCTTGAACTATAAAAATTGATAAAATTATCATCAAGAGACCATTTATTAACGTATATTATTACATAATTAACAAGAAAAACATTATTTTATCTTCTTTAAGCACTTTTATATACCGTTATTCTTCGACCAAGACTTAAGACTTTACACAATACAAATGTATTGATTTGTAGAAAGAAATTGATACTAAAATGCACTTTTTTTTATATTTTATTCTAATATTTATGGATTCGGAACTTCAAAAATATTGTCAAATAACTCAAGAAATTAGTTTGGTTGCTATGGAAATTGTTCCACTCGAAACTTTTCCCACTGAATTTTTTCTGTTCTTAATTTTGTTGATGTGTTTTTTTCCGTTTTTTTAAATTCCGAGTTTAAATTATAAATGAAACAAGTAGAACGACACGTGTTACGGGATTGGTTGCACTTCGTACGAAAACACCTGTTCCGATTTAATACTATTGTTGACGTCATTGTTCTAGTTTCTCATATCGACTGATCGAATTAAATGCGTGAAGAACCCCATCCGTTCTCCTTCTAAACACGTTTTTATCTTAAATTTTATGCTTAAAAATGAAAATATATGAAATATAATTGTTAAAAAAGCGATATTGAAACACTGGGATTCAGGTGAGAATTTAGAATTTTAATATGGTGGATGCGAACGGTCAGGCGTCGCGTCGCTTCGCATGCTGTTATAAATACTAAAAAATGGTTTTAATTAATAATTTATATTATATTAACATAAATTATTTTATATTATAGTCTAATATTTTGTAAATTTAAACGTTTTAACAAATAAATAAATATTATTGCGAGATTTTTATTGAAGCGCGTCGCCATAATTTGCGACTCGTCGCGTCCATAGGTAGGAAAAACAATTATTATTTTATTATATTAAAATATTTTATAATGAAATAAATTAACACTTAATATATTTTTAAACACTTTTATGTGATTATATACAAATTATTAATATGAAAATATCATAAATTTAATTAAGATGTTCTGATCTGACGACGGGACTCGACGCCTAACTGATGCGACTGTTCTCACTGCTTAAACTATTAAAATATAAGCGATAAAACTCTTATTATTTAATGATTTAGAAACTATTTATTTATTACAAACTGAGTGTTTGTAATAAATAAATATTTACCACGTTAAACAGAATGATAAAAATTAAAATATTTATTTTCAGTTCGCGACGCGACAACACGTGTTCGTCGCATCCATTCGCTTCCGATTTCATGTCATATAACTAACTTAAATTTATTAATTTAGGTTGCTTTAAATTAAACGAAAATATATTTTATAAATTAAAAATAATTAAACATTTGAAATTGTGAGAAATATAAATTTTTTTCTATAATTTCAACTAACAAATTACGACGCGACACGCGATACGCGACGCGACAGTTCAAAAAATCACGACTTTTAACTAACAAAGATCACTTTAATAGCGATTATTTATCACAGAAATTAATTTAAATGTTAGATGATTCAAGTGAGGAATTAGGAAATCAACTAGAACGAAACTAATTACGATTAATTTGCATATAAATTTAATTAATTAATTGAAAACTGATTAAGTTTTTGACGTGTTTAAATGCAATAAATTAAAATTGTTTCTTAATAATTTTTTATTAATTAAATAAAATAATAATAATTAATTAACTAATTGTAATTTTTAAAGAAAATTAAATTTGAACTTTTTAATTAATCTATATT